GTTGATGATTGCATTGTGAACTTATTTCGTCCTATTTCATATCACATTCTCGCTTCACTACTGCAATCAAAAGATTACTTTAACTAATAAGCTCCATTTAAATTGTTCATAGCATATTGAATTTTTTTTATAATTGAATTGACATGAATTAAATGTTAAGATATTTAAATTAATCATAATACCGCCGAAGCTTGGACTTCTGAACATAGCACTGTAGCCAAGAGACGGCTAAAGTTCGTGTGATACGATTGCAGCGAACTCCGAGTCCCCCGCCGCCGCGCAGCCGCCGTCTCCGCGCTCGGTGCGTAAGCGCTTTGGCTCCGCCAGCGAGGAGACCATCCTCAAGGTAACCTATCACAAACTCGATATTTTTCCGAAATAACGTTTGTTCGAATTTTCATTGCACCGAAAACCGAATTATAACGAAACCGTTATAATTCGGTTCTTTCAGGATATGTTGGATGTTTATCGCAAAGACACGATTAGGTTCGGTTAGGTCAATAAAAAATTTTCCTCTCAAAATTGGACGTAGTTATGCAAACAAGAACCAACCCACACCTCGAGTGAAATTGAGTTATGTATTTAGGTAGAACACCACACGTGTTCTTTACCCGCTCACCAAAGATCCTTTTTTTTTTTTTTTTTGACGGGGGGAAATCTTTATGGATACTCCTGAGCCCAGGGAGACTCAGGAGTTATGTGAGGACTCTCCCTCCACACTGGAAGGCCTACCCCACTAAAACCCCCCTGGGTTTCCCTCTCGCCGGTTGAGTCGGCGCCGTGGGATCAGTGAACATTCACCACGACGCCGCCCGGCCGCCCTAGCTTGCGCCAGGGCTCCCGCGCCAACGGAGGGACGAGTCGGTTGTCCTCCGACCCGCCCCCCAGACGAGTGAGGCCGTGCAATGCAGGCTCCGGAGTCCCTGTCCAGAGCCCGCTGGTCTCACTAGGGGATCAGGCGAGCAGCGAACTGCCTTCGCCTTCTCCCCGTACGTCTGCGCCGGAGCGGGTGCGCGTCCGCCGCGTCCTCGCGCACCCGCTCCGCGGCCTCCTTTTGCGACATAACCTCTGTGCAAAAGGAGGCCACCGCCTCCCAGGACTCCTCGCTATCGAGCATGGCGGCAACCACGCTCGGCAACGAGAGGTCCTGCCCTATAGTCCCCGTCAGAGTGCGGCGCTGCTCATCCCACCGGCTACACACCTCTAGGGTGTGCTGCGCGGTGTCATCCCCAGCGCCGCACTCGTGGCACGACGGGGACGGTTCCCTCCTCGCCACCTTGTGCAGGTAGTGACCGAAGCAGCCGGGCCCGGTCAGCACCTGCACAAGGTGGTACGACAGTGGCCCGTGGGACCGGTTTACCCACTCTACGAGGACAGGGCGGATCGCCTCTATGGTACGAGCGCCATAGGGGGGATCCGCCAAGCCCTCTTTCCACCGGTCCCGCATGCGCTGCGCCGCCAGGCGGCGCTCCCGCTCCACCTCTTGCGGAGCGGGTCGCTCGCCTCGGTCCCTCATTCCCCGCCGGTAGGTGCGGACCTCCGCCAGGACCTCGGCTTCGAGGTCCCACGGCGGAGTACCGGCGAGGACGCATGCGGCAGCGCAGGCCACCGTCCTGTACGCCCTGAACATTCGCAGGGCGACCACCCTCTGGGGCCTCCTCAGCAGCGACTTCGTCGCCGCTGATAAGGCCCCACTCCAAATGGGAGCCCCGTATAAGGCCATACTCCGGGTCACCCCGGCGTATAGCCTTCTGCATGGGGCTCCCGGCCTCCCGAGGTTGGGCAGGAGCCTGCCCAACGCCGATGCGGCGCCCACTATTCGGGGAGCAAGTTGCCGAAAATGCTCCCCGAAGTTCCATCGCCGGTCTAGGACAAGTCCCAGATATTTCATCTGGGACTTGACTGGGACCGATACTCCCGCGATGGAGATGTGGGCGCCTGCCGGCACCACCCAACCTCTACCCCTCCCGCCGAAGACGGCCACATCCGTCTTCGGCACGGCGACCTCGAGCCCCAGCAGTTGTATTCGGCGGACCACCATGTCCGCCGCTACTGAGGCTCTTCGGGCCGCCTCCTGGAAGGTGGTCCCCCGGACGGCCACCAGCGTGTCATCGGCGTACGCGATGACCGCCGTCCGGGGGAGCAGCGCGCCCCTCAGCACCCAATCGTACCCCAAGTTCCACAGAAGTGGTCCTAATACGGACCCCTGGGGTACTCCGCACCTCATTGGGCGCTCGGCGCGCCTCCCTTCCCTCGTCTGGTAGAGCACCACCCTGTCCTCCAGGTAGTGCTCCACCAGACGGCTGAGGTACCTGGGGATATTATGGCGCCTCCCTGATAACGGCGAAGGGGAGAGTGCCGAAGGCGTTGGCTATGTCCAACGACACAGCCACCACGCCTTCCCTCTCGCCGTTACCCTCCTCCACGATGTGTCGCAGCGACTCCAGGGCGTCCGGGCTGGAGAGTCCAGCCCTGAACCCGTACTGCCGCTGCGACACATCGGGGCCTGTGCCCCTCAAGTGTTCGTTGATCCTGGAGGCGATGATTCGCTCCAGGATCTTCGCCACCTCGTCCAGCAGGACGAGGGGCCTGAACCCCGAGGGGGAGTCCGCAGGTCGGCCCGGCTTGGGCACCAGGACGAGTCCTCAAGCAGTCATCCATGAGATGCTTGAGGCGGGTCCCGAGATGCTTCAGGGCAATGCGAAGGACTCGTCCCGGTATCCCGTCCAGGCCGGGAGCCTTCTTCCGCCCCCGCAGCCGTCTCACCGCCCACTCCAACTCCCCCTCGGTGATTTCCGGGGGGGGGTTCCTCAGGCACCATGGCCGGTGGGGTGACAGGCTGCGGTTCGGGGAAAAGGCCCTCCACCACCCGGTTGAGGAGATTCAGCTCCAGTGAGTCCATGGGAGATGCGCCGTACATTTTGTTGCGCACTCACCAAAGATCCTGGCAATATACCAAGCCAAAACGGAGAAAATAAAAGTCCTTCAGGGTACCAACCCTAAATAAGTAACTTTTTAATAGCTAAAAATAACCATGCTGTTTAACTTCATATAATGTATTTTTTTAAATATGCTAAATGGATCCATGTCACATGTACTGAAGTACTGTAGATCTTTAGCGTTTTCATTACGAAAACTAGAACATGGTTCTCGTTAACTAAACAAAAAGATACATAATGTTTTCTATTTATTGCTATATAATATAATAGTTTCCCTATATCATTCTTAATGCTGCACATAACTAACGTTGTTTGTCTCAAAAAACTTACCTATTTATTTTTTCACACTGTTTTTACAAAAGTCTAATTATCTCGAAAGTGACATTTTGTGGGTTGGTTCTAGTTTGCAAACTATGTCCAACTACTTTCGAGGTTATGAAAATTCAAGCAAAAAATTCTGGCAAATGTCATTTCGGACTACTTATAGGTAACCCATCGACCGCTCGGTCCTGGCACTGTACGCATTGTGTCGGTTGTTCGTTGTTCATGTCATCCAAAGCGAATCTATTATTCATGTGGTAACGAAACTTTTGTGCCTCAGCTATCCACAGTTTTTATTTTGATAAAATCTATACCTCCAATTAACACTACGCCAACTTCATTTTTATACCTGTTCTTTTATTAACTTTTTTTTGTTTTTTAATTTTGTTTTCGCAAACTTCGGTGAGTGTAATATTAGTCAATAAAGATGGCTTTTTACTAAAATAATAGACAGGATAAAAAAAATTGGAGTAGCATTGGAGTATCGAAGTATAAAATTTAACTAATGTTTGTAATATATTTTTGCATCCTATTGTTACAATTCTAAATGTTATTTATGGTATTGTATAAATTTACTTTAAATGCATGCAAATCAGAAGTGATAATATAAGTGAATATAAATAACTAAATACAGAAATGTGTATAGTATTCGCGTGTCAAGTTTTGGTGAAATGTACAATTTTATATAACATACGGATAATACCAGCGGATAAATATCTTGTATTCATTTTATCTCATCGACTATGACATTCATTACCAACTTATGTAATTCAGCAAGTGAACGGCGCTGGCGGCGAAGGCGGCTGCGTGTCTCTCGCCGAATGGGAGGCCTTCAAGCAGGAAATGCTGAGGGAAGTGCGAACGCAGATGGCGCACGTCAAGAGGGACATACTAGACGGTGAGTCTCTCTTAACTGGTCATTAGACACCTTGGAAGGTCGTGAAACATGACATAGCTAAGAGAAATACCAGCGCGGATAACGTACATTTAGAGGGCCGTACGAGACGGTGAGCCTAGATCATAGTTTCCAAAGTAGTTCCTGCCGTCACCCAGTGGGCGCTGAAGAGTCCAAGGGCGGTAGGGGCCTGGGAAGCAATTAAGGAGTGTTATTTGCTGTTCAGAGGGTGCTACCGCAATTGAACAATGTTTCCATTTTAAATTATCGTAGAGGTATTTCTAAAGAATGTTTCATTATATACAACAAATTTCGACTGTGGGAATCATAGATTTAGTATCTAAATCTATGGTGGGAATAATACCTAGGCCCTCCAATGCGAGTCCAACCGTTGGAATAGAACTCAGACTCTTCAGTGCAATTTCACCAATGGGAATAAACCCAGGCTCTCCAGTGCATATCTAACCATGGGAATAAAACTCAGGCCCTTCGGTGCATGTCTAACCCAGGCCCTCTGTTGCAAGTCCACCCAGGACTTCTGAAGCAAGTTCTACCGTGGTAATAAAACCCAGCTTCTGTGATGCATGTCCATTTCTTAATATTAAATTTTCTTTTTCTTTTGTTCCAGCAATTAAGGCGGAGCTAGCGCGCAGGTAATTCACGCGCGTTGTCCTCTCATCCTAGTCCGGCCAACTGGTGAACACATATTTTGAATACACGTAACATCTATTACTGTTGTAAACAGCTTAATTAAGTTTTTATATGTTCTATTTACTAAAGTCTCAGTAAAGATAAATTTTACTCAAGTTTACGATTAGTTTCGGTATCCCATCGTTATGTTAGTTAACTAATCAGTTAAAGCCTTTAAAGTTTGAGGTTTTTGTTTGTGTATGTACCATGTTACTCCGAAACTTGGACTTTAGAAAATATTACTGTTTGAAAAAGGTAACCCGAACTCTTGTTTTGCGAAACAAAGAAAAAATGTCGACACGGTAGTGTGCCAAGCCAAGTTAGGCAAAACTGATGCACTTCAACATTTTTTTTAATCATTAAATGTATCCGTTTTTTGTTTGTCAATTTTCAAATATATTTTGGTTAAATTACTTAGTTAGAGTATGAGGTTATGTGCCTGTAACAAGAAATTTTATATAAGGTAATCCTTTATAATGGGTCTATTTAAAGAATTTGGCCTTAATTATTGTATTAATAACTTTTCTTAAACGATCTTAATTCGTGTCAATTTTTACACGTTTTTACTAATTTTTTTCACCCATTGCGCAAGAGTCCGAAAGATGGTAATGGTGGGTGTGTTTTTTATACGGTCATAGAAAACCCTGAAGTGACGTTGAAATGATATCAAAATATTTGTTCATCTACGGCTTATATGTGATCAAACGAACGTATTACGTAAATTTAGAGATACCGCCTCGCTACAGTGTGGACATGTCGAAAAAAACAACGACTTTAAAAAAGCAACATAATGTTGCCAGTCGAAAAAATTCAAAATCGGTCTAGATTTTACTAATCACTTGTATTGTCTAATCGAGTATTTTAGAAGAAAAATAAAACAATGATTTTTTCGGCAAATATCTTTTTGTCCCAAAAAAAATCTCGATTAAATAATAAAATAACTATAATTGATCGATTTTCAATTCGTAATTGATACTTAGCGCACTAACGTCGATGCATAAAGTTGTGTTTTTTTAATTTTATACTTAAAAATATTTATTCGGATACGTAGTGTGTAAGAGTTCGGACATTTTATAATGATGGTGTATTGCTGTTGCTTTCTGTTTAATTTTTAAACTAAAAAAAACGGAACACATTTTTTGTATATGAATACGAAGACTGTCTAAAACACCATCCATCCACCATCTCATCTTTGACCTGCATGCAGTACCGTGCCCTAAAATCCATTGGAGTATAAGAATTTTTTATAACGCTCTTAAAACAAATATATCTTTCTAGAATACGAGATATCATCGAAAATATACTGTGTTTCATGTTTTATGTCCAACCATTAACAAAAACCAATAGCAAAACACCTTAAAAGTTTAAAATATACGTGTAATATTCACCTAGCATTATCATGTAACTAGTATTACTCGATATTTATTGACGTAACGCGTATTTTGTACGCGGCGGTACTAAGTAAGGTATTATACATATTATTAAAAATATATTATTGAATGTATGCCAGTTTCGTTCGCCGAGTGGACATCTTTTAGTGTATTTGTTTATCGCTAGGACAGCCATCTTCCCGTTCAAGTCTTCCATACAACATAAGTATTAAATAACAGATTGATACATTTACTTTATTTGAATTACATCTTTCTCTTTGCCATTAGGAAAACAAACTTTTTGTCCCTCGGTCTTTTGCTTTGTAAAAAAATAAGTATACACATAGAACAATTCGTAAGGTCTAGTGGTTAGTTCCGTAGTACGGTTTGCTAGAAGACGTTGGTTCGAATCCAGCCGGATCAATGGAATTTCTTCTTAGTGTTCAATCTATTGTTTACGATGTTAGTAATTATAGTCCTGCGAAGTTGTTAGTGTTTTACAAATATACCAGTATATCTCCGTGACATAATCGACCAGGACCCCGATTCAGAACTCTTTGATTTTAACAGAATCGTTCAATTGAATATCGTTCTCAAATGGAAGGGCGCTTTCCGAGCTTCATGATACGACATCGTAATCCAACAGCGTTTACGGAGTTTCTGTGAAATAGATTATAAAAAAAAATGAAAATCAACTCAACGAAAAATTAGTCTCGCATTAACATAAAGTAATAAAATTGAACAAAATTCAGACGTTTTAAAATAATAAGAGATTTCCACATTACGTTTGTAAACAATAGGACGTTCGGTAAGTTTCATTCGATAACCGTGTTCTGAATAACCTAACCTAATCGATTTCAGGTCGGTTTCGAATACGACATTTTGACGCTCGATTCGGGTGTTGTGAATAAAAATGAAAAGAAATCGGTCGACAACTGAGTTATCGTAACGTTCTGAATCGACCCCCTGGAATAAGGAGATTTTTTTTTTTTGTAATAAATATTTCGTGTCATATCATAATTCGTATCATAATCATTTTGCCCCACAGTGATAAATTGTTTTAAAACCGATATTGCAACGCCTAGAATAGCTTAGCACACCTAAAAATCGCCAAGTTTTTTGGTGTCCATCTTACTAGAGCAACGTCATAGGCCAAACTAGTGTAAGTGCTTCATAGATCGCTCCTAGACTATAGTTGGCTTTTAAACTACACCATCTAGACGCTCGGTGAACGAAACTTTTAAAACAATATACATTATACATGTATCATTAACGGAAATTGATATTCTTGGGGCGAGAACTTAGCCTAGCATTGAAAAGTGTCGTTTTTGAAAGAAAGATAGTGAAATATTTTCACCTTTCTCGAATAGTTGTCGATGATAACGTAAACTTTAAGAGCGTTTGGAAAAAATCCTAGTTTTCACCCCAAGCATACCAATTTCTACATTTATATAAATAACAATGGAAAAGTACACTTATGTAGCAGTACAGTAAACATTGTTTTTAAAAATTCAGTTCAGGCTTTAAACAAATACGGCACTTTTAGTTTTTAAGTAAATAAACGGACTGATAGATCATTCCAATAAAAAAAAAACTTAAAAACTGTTCACTTAAGGGTCGATCGGCCTACGGGATTTCGTACAAAACGATAACACGATTTTTTAGAACTTGGTCCTTTTTTTTCACATGGCACTCGTTTTACGTAGTGTACCAATCCTTTTTGGGATAATAAAGATGTAATTGTTAAAGGGATAATTAACTTGGTGCTTTTGGACAAAAATTATACTGAGTGAAAGGATTAGGACCTACTTAGATTTAACGTTAAAAGTTTTAATATCATACTTATGAATTTAATTATTAGATCAAATAATTGGCTGGCTCTAATTGATGAAACTAATGATATTTCTCGTAGACGGTGTATGATCTAACGTTCCTATGATCTTATATTCGACATTTTTTAAATTAAAACACGGCAGTGTGTCAGCCAAGTTCGAAAAAACAATCACTTATCCTGTAATTGTATTACATGAATCTATATTTAAATTTATACCTTGTTCTTTCGCTCGGTCTGATTTCTGTCCAGTTTTTACATGACATTAAAGAGTTTTAGAAAAAATATGCCAAGCACAAAAGTAGAAATAGAGTTAACATATAAACACTCAGTGCTTCAAACATGGACAACAATTTTTATGTTGTTACAAAAAAAATTATCTTGGTACATTTTTTCTAAAATACAAAATTTTAATTCAATACCGTGTCAAACCAATACACTGTAACATAAACAGTATATAGAGAAAAAGATGCAATAAGTATTTTGCGGCTTTTTGTACTTTTTCAGGTTAATAACATAAAAAGACTTAACTTATTTGAATAACGAATAAATTTATTTTCACTTGATAAAAGCCAAAAGACTCTTGCAATAATGAAATTATAAAACACAGTATTGGCATTTGCAGTGTTTTGGTTTGACACGATACCTTTGTTTCGACGACTGAGTATGCATTTACGATATTTTTTTTGTTTGTGTGACTCAAAAAAAGGCCGATTATTGTGTAGATTTTTTAAAATATTTCCAATTACATCCAATAGAAAAGTGATTAACACTTAGTGATATTTATTATAACTATCGTTAAATGTAAGATAAATAAATACTAGTATTAAAAATAATATAAAATAAAAAAACTAACCAAATTTTAGTTGGAATTACTAATTCTTTTTTTTTGTATAAAATAAATATTATTTTGTATTGGTCTCATTAAATGTCAAAGATTGTATTTATTATTGAATTCACTATTGAAATGCCATTAGATTTTTTCTTGCTTAGTTAATTGTTGGTTGCATTGACATATGCATAATTTCAATTTATTTTTTAACTCTGGATGTTGCTATATTTGTGAGCAAGTATTCACCATCTTATGGTGACACTTCAAATTGGTGTTTTGTATTCCCTGTTGGGTATTTATTGTACTTGGAAAAATATTTGACGTGTAGACAAACACGCAGATAAATATGACAAAAAACAAAACAAAAAAGTACCATCGTAACCATATCTTTGCTCCACGACTAGGCAGTGCAAGAGCAAGTCCTTAAAAAAAAGTGTTCATAAATATAGCAAAATCTGTGGTCTGTCCTACGATCGTTTTAGAGTTTACTATTATTTTATGTAAAGGATGTTGATTAAATAGAATCAAACTTGGCTGTAGTTTTCTCCGTGCATCTTTGAAATAATTTTACATTTGACTTCAGCATTTATTTGCGAATTCTCATTTGTGATGAACAATGGTCGCAAAAAGATATTCCACATGTATAGATACATCTATAGATGTAGCTACAAGGAGCAACATAGAGTTGTTAAAACCACCAAATATTAATTAATTACTTTTTTCGATTTCCAGATGAAAAAACTCCTCTCTTTATTCTATTTAGGAAGATAAATAGCCATATATACATGAATAAGTAAAATTGCGCATTTTCGTCTTGTTTAAGCGTCCAGCAGTTTAATAAAAAGTATTAAAATAATGTAGTGTGAACATTTTATTGCAGCATTCTAGTGTAAATTACGAAATTTCTGCTAGTGGTTCCAATTTATGAACATCTGTTATATTGTGTTTTTGAATAAAAATAAAATATTTTTAGAGCGCGATCACAACGATTCTCATGCAAACTAAAACGTCCTAAAATTCCCCTTGTAAATAAAATTTTAAATTATTTTTTTTTTAAGTTCTACTAGCAAATCTCGCCGTCATTACGCGGATCTAAAGCTAGGGGGGCGGAGAGTGACCATTCTCGTTACTTTTCATTCTCTGGTTTGGTAAAAGATCAGTTATCTGCTGCATTTTATAGATGGCACCATTAGAATAACTTGAAAATCCAACTTCAACTTCGTAGGTCAGTAGTTTTGTCCTACGATGCAGTATAACCATTTCCGGAAATCCGGAATTTAGTTGGCGGTTTTAACAACTTTATGTTTCTCCTTGTAGCTATAACAATACATGTATGTGGAACACATATTTCCGACCATTAGTGATGAAACTTGCAAACCATACTTCAACCGTGAGTTTACAGCGATGCTTGGGGCGATCGCATAAAATATTTTGTATACAAAATTATACTTCTTATTTGTGACTGCTAAGGGCACTACAATGTGTGGCAACACAGATTTGCTAAATGTTTTACGCGTTTTCTACTGACTAGTGTCACTGTAATTTCATTATAGAGGCTCTGTACGTGAGTATTCAATTGCAAGTTGCGTCTAAATATAATTGACCCCCTATTTTTCTATAATTTATTTCCTGTAATTTTGTAGTAAGGAACAGCTAGTATAGGTTACCAATGTGTTGTACGTATATTTTTTCTTATGTATTTTTGCAGTCAATTGTTGTAAATAGGATTTCGTAACGAATTATATATTTTTTTGTGATTGTAATTTTTTTTTATTTTATGCTTCCTTTATTTATTTTTTTATAAACTAGATCAGTCACTGCCTATTTTTTTTAATACAAACATTTTATACTATGTAGTCATTTATATTATGACGTATGTATGAGAAAGGTGGAAAATCAGTAGGGTATGTGTTGTTTGTTATGAATGTAAGCGCCAAACTACACTTTTTTATCTTTTTGTAGGTACAGTCAAGAGCACATCAAGCTTGACACTTTGGACTTTGGACCGTTCTTATTG